GCTGCTATCTCCTCTCTGTATCTTCTCCTTATCCCTTCTATCTCCTTTTCTTTTCTCTCTCTTTCTCTCCCTCAAACCCTAAACCCTAATAAACCCTAAACCCTAGTACAAACCCTAAACCCTAGTAAACCCTAGTAAACCCTAAACCTCCCTATACACCATGCAGCCCCCGAGAGGCCTGGGGCTCAACCCAGACTACCCTGCTGCTCCTCCCCCCACAAACGGGGTCTCTCAGCCTTTCTATCAGGGTACTGCAGCAGCAGCAAAGCCCCCATACGGCAGCGGCATGGGGGCCCCCCCCCCGGGGCCCCCGGGGCCCCCGGGGCCCCCAGGGGCCCCCGGGGGGGCCCCCCCAGGGGCCCCCGCAGCAATGGCTGGGTACTACAGCCAAGACACAGCGCCTGCGATGCAGCAGTACCCGCAGCAGATGCACATGCCGTATTCACAGCAGCAGCAGCAGCAGCAGCAGCAGCAGCAGCAGCTGCAGCAACAGCCTATGTATTCAGGAGCTTCGTTTGGTGCGCCTCCCCCTATGCAGCAGCAGGCTCCTCTTTACCCGCAGCAGCAGCAGCAACAGCCGCTGCAGCAGCAGCCACTGCAGCAGCAGCCGCTGCAGCAGCAGCCGCTGCAGCAGCAGCAGCAGCAGATGCCACCTGGGGGTCGGTATATAGGGGCGTCCCCGAGCCCGTTTGGTGCTGCTCCTCCTCCTCAGCAGCCACCGCAGCAGCTGCAGCAGCAGCAACTGCAGCAGCAGCAGCAGCAGCAGCAGCCATGCTACATGCCTGCTCCTATGCAGCAGCAAGAATCAGTATCTGGTGGTTATATGGGTGGAGGGTTGATGCGCCCAGCAACAGCAACAGCAGCAGCAGCAGCAGCAGCAGCAGCAGGAGTACCCGCAGCAGGAGGAGGTTTGCGTTCATCGTATTACCCGTCATCTTCCTCAGCAGCAGCAGCAGCAGCAGCAGCAGCAGCAGCAGCAGCAGCGCAGCAGAGTAAACAAGAAAATAATTTATTTTATCAAGGGGGGAGAGACGTGCAGCAGCTGAACGCCCCCGCTGTCTTTGTGCGTCCTTCTGTTTTCTTTGTGCCTAGCAGCACGTCTCTGCGGCACAAAACTCATTTACCTCTGGGTGTAGTAATCAGGCCTCTAGCATCTCTCTCTCCCCCTGCTGCTGCTGCTGCTGCTGCTGCTCCTGCTGCTGCTGCATGCACGCTGCCGAGGGTTTCTTTTGGGGCTGGCTTAGTTATTAGATGCAGGAGATGTAGAACCTATATAAACGGCTTTGTTGGGTGGGAGGGGGGGGGGAGGAGGTGGATATGTAATATATGCAGCAGCAGCAACGATACGCCTCAGTTTTATTTCCCTAGAGAAGACAGCAGCAGCAGCAGCAGCAGCAGCAGCAGCAGCAGCAGCAGCAGCGGTGGCTGCTGCAGCAGCAGCAGCAGAGATAAACCTGAGCTATCTGTTGGGTCGTATGAGATAGTAGCACCCACAGACTATATGATTAGGCCCCCGCAGCCGCCAGCTTATGTTTTTGTTATTGATGTTTCTGCTGCTGCTGCTGCTGCTGCTCTTCCTGCTGCTGCATGCAGCAGCATTGCTGCTGCTATTCTCAATGATAGATTACCTGGAGACAACAGAGCTCTTGCTGCAGTCATCACCTACGATAGAAATATACATTTTTATAAACTACAGCAGCAGCAGCAGCAGCAGCAGCAGGACCCACAGCAGCAGCAGCAGCAGCAGCAGCAGCAGCAGCAGCAGCCGCAGATATATATAGTTCCGCAGATAGATGATGTATTTCTCCCTCTCGCTGATTTTCTTTTTGTGCCGATAAAAGAAAATAAAAATAATTTAATTAATACGCTAAATGCTATTCCGGATATATGGAGAGATAATACATGCTCTGACAACTGTCTTGTGCGTTCTTTATTTTTTTTTATTTATTTATTTATTTATTTATTTATTTTGTTTTTTATTTATTTTATTTGTTTATTTGTTTATTTGTTTTATTTGTTTGTTTATTTGTTTATTTATTTATTTATTTTATTTATTTATTTATTTTATTTATTTTGTTTTTTGTTTTGTTTGTTTATTTATTTGTTTTGTTTGTTTATTTATTTGTTTATTTGGTTTATTTATTTATTTTATTTATTTATTTATTTTATTTATTTATTTGGTTTATTTATTTTGTTTTTTGTTTTGTTGGTTTTTTGTTTTGTTTGTTTGGTTTTTTGTTTTGCTTGTTTCCTTTGTTTGTTTCTTTTTGTTTCTTTTTTTATTTTTTTATTTTTCTATTTTTTTATTTTTTTATGTATTTATGTTTAGTGTTTGTAGTTGTATACTTTTATATGGAGAGGTGGATATACTTTTATATATACTTTTATCTTAACTTATTAAATTTATATTTACTTCGTTATATATGTATATATATATATATATATATATATATATATATATATATATATATATATATATATATATAT